TCATTTCTCTTTAGGAAATAGATGTTTCTACATTACATAGTCTTTGACATTTCTTTTAACGTGACTCTGAGTTCTGGCAAGACAGTAAAGTAGACAAAGACGGACTGTAGACAATAATCACAATTCAGTCCTTTTTTTTCCTTAGAACATACTTATGTATATTAATTAACCAAATAAATTGTTAAGGTACTCAAGTTATAACACCAATATTTATATATTACAATCGTAAATATATTTTATAATCGTAAATAGTTTTGTTGAGGATCGGTTTTGTATTTGTCACTTTTCAAAGAAACAACAATTAAAATTTTAAGTAACCAAAAAAGGAATGTTCAGATTTTTATTTACTTTTTTTAAGTTGATTATTTTTGATTTACTGTGCGATACCGTCTTTACTCAAAAAATTATATATTTTTTTCATTGTTACAATTTCGCTCGTAAGCCATTTGTACTATATGTACTATATGTTATCCTGATGAGTCAGTTACCTGACAAGTTGCATCCTCTGAAAAATTCATATTTCCATCCATTCGTCATTCATACAAAATTTCTGTTCTTAATTTTCAACTACAAGAACTATACTTTATTGTCCAAATTTCTCATCCTCTCTGTATTTATATGTACGTAGTCAATAGAGTTATTAAAAATCGATTTTTAATAGTATGACTGTATATTATTTCCAGACCCCATACAAAAAATAATGGATATCAATTTTTTAAATATGCTTTGCGTTTGAACATTAAAGTTTTAGATAAATTCTATTGTTAGATTGGTTTTATACTTTAATCGTATAAAAACTTATGACGGGAGATATATTATAATTTAAAAAAATTTGTATTAAATCAACAAGGAGCGTGTCAAAGGAAATGATATTATTATAGTTAGCTGAGCAACAGTTCATTGATTTCATTTAATAACATTATATTTTTGTATTTTATGTTCCAATATATTTTTTTATAAGAAATCACCTTTTAGTAATTGCCGAATGATAATCACTTGACTATAATCGCAAGACTAACAATCGTCTACTCTGCAGCCAATATTTGAGTTAAGAAACATGTATTGTACGAGTACGTACTGTTTATTTGAGTCTAGTATTTAAACAGATATTGATGTATGTTTGTTGATTTCTGCTTTGTTTATTCTTATTTGATTAATCATGATCTATGGCCCTTAGTACAAGTATATATGACTATAAGTTTCTTTGTTCGTACTATTATTACCATAATCAAATAGTTTTAGTTTTTTTTATATTTTAGTTGTAGCACAGCAATTATGAAGTAATTATTGATTTATTAATTCCATAAAATATATTTAATTTCTTATTTTAGTGGTAATGATGTGTTCATTTCGGAAAGTAATTATGTTTCAGTTTATACTTTTGGTTTACAGCCCATTAGGTAGTGATTAGTATTTCAATTACTACTGAAATTAAATTTTGAAAATTGAAACAAATATTGTTAAGATTAGTGTTTTTTTTGCTTTCCTTGTTTTCTTTAGCAGTTCACAAAAACAAAAACTTTGTTTAAAATTAATAACGATAATTTAAAATGTATCATTATAGTTATAAAACGTGGTTGGCTATTTTTGATACAAATCAATAGCTCATACATTACTTCAAAGTAGCTGTTTTCTCAAATTTACTTTTTATATTCTTTGAACATCTGTGACACCTTTTCCTTACGCTTTCTTAGAATTTTATTTTTCAAAGCCTTGATTTTTTGTACAGAATATATACAATTTATAACAACATGAAGTATTTGTAGGTATTTTCATTTTGACATAATATAACTTAGCGAGGATCTCACACTATTTAGCTCGTCAAAGTCTGAGAGTCTATAAATAAAGATCATCGTGAGTGCACATTTACCACTGGCATACGTAACTATTAACCAGATTAGTGAAGTGTAGTATGATAATAGTGTTTATTTTAAACTGAATACCGTTTAATATAAATACGATATAATATCACCACAAACATATACATTAATTCAATGGGGTTTTCAAACTAAATTGAAAACTTTGTGTGATCGTCGATATTATGGTACTGTTTCCCATATTTTAATAAATTGTTTGGAACTTTAGAAAAATGTGACTGTTAGACTATGAAAAAATGTGAATGTTACACTATGCATAAATTTTCGTACAAAAGTTTTTTTTAATACGACTGAACTAGGTGTTGCAAATTTATAGTTTAGAATGGGGAAGAGCCTTTTAATAGCATTTATCGAAATATGTTGGTTGACAGTAAGTCGTTAAAGTATATTTAAGAATTTGAAATTATAACATGATTGTAGAGTAGCACAATTGTAGTGGTAAATTATAAGAGTAGTGGTGATTTAAAACGTATCTTGGTTTAGAAGATATACATAATAAAAACGTATTTCTTCGATCTTAGACTTCTTCAGTAAATATATTAAATACTAGCTTTTTCCCTGTAGCTTTTACGGCTTCAAGGACCTACGTTTCGGGACTTATTGTGATTTAAACTCTAGGACCAGTTTTACTCTATACGCAATTTTATTATAATATAATTATTTAAATAAAAGTCATATATTTACCAGATAAAATCTGTATGTTAAGATAAAAAAAAACTTACTTACCTTTCTGAGTTTTATAATATCTAAACAATATATTGTACCCGATTTATATTACTGTGTAGTTATGGGAATGTGAATATTCAAAGAGAGATTTGAAAATTCGAAAAAAGTTTGTGACACATTAATACCTGGTTCCTTTCGATCTCCAATAAACCAACCACTGAAGCAGCTAAAGGACTTGTTTTCGATAAAATATATCTGGATCTTTCATGGATATAGTACTTAGGAGCCCCTTTTATTTTTATCTCTGTTTATGAGACTCACTGTTTCAACCCAAAAATGTGGAATAAAAATATAATAGTTCTTCATATGAAGTCATGTTTCGACTTACTTATTTTCTTATATATAATAATGAAACTTAAATAATACCTTTATAATATTATACAAATATAAACCCCTGATTATTTTCTTCGACTCTTTTAAAAACTATTTGAAACCCTACAATATTTAAAGAATACCTGCACGATAATTATAGACAGTGAAATTTTATTTAAGGATTGTAGCTTTATTATTTGAAATAAGTTCTTAACATCTCATAATAAATATTAATACACTAGTTTTTGCCCGCGACTTCGTCCGCGTTAGTTTGGTCAAGAGTAATATATTATGTAGGTATAGCTGACCGGGCGAACTCTATTCCGTCTTAGAGGCCATTAATAATCAGGTTTTTCCTGTTTCAATCAAACAGAATGATTGACATATTAGTTAGTTGTCAAATGTAATGTCAAAAAAAAACGTTTGTATGGGAAATAGAAAAGGGCTGTTTTTAGGGTTTACCCGGCAATTATTCCAATTTTTCTCACCTTTTAAACCTTTCCTGGACTTCCAGGAGTATTTCAAGACTAAAATTAGCCAAATCGGTTCAGCCGTTCTCGAGTTTTAGCGAGACTAAGGAACAGCAATCCATTTTTATATATATAGAAGATAATGACATATGTATAAGATTTTTTTGTTTGCACATTTAAATGAAACCAAGGTTTTCGGATCCTACTTTTTTATTATTTAAATTATGATCAGGTAAATCAATAATAAGAACGCATAGGAACCAAAAAAAATTAATTATTGAAAATATATAAACAGTATCTTAGATCCTTATTTAGTATCCAACCACCTTATGCGATCCTAAAATATTAAAAGTGAGACGTAAGAAACAAATATACGTTGTAGCCTTTTTTATTTTCATAGATTGGTTACGTAAACAAAATCTATTAATATAAGAATATAAATTATATTTTGAATAATTAATAATAACATGTCATATTATGAATTACAATAATTTATATTACAGTAGTAATTTAACTGCACTACTTAATAGTTATATGTTGTTGATTCGATCATTATAGTGCTCTTAGTTCTAGAAACAACATGTATGGTACACGTAGTTAACACGATACATTCAATGTTAAATTATGCACTCCCGCAATTTGGCAATTAGCATTATCATGATTTGAACTGTTATTATGCATAAGTCGATTAATTAACAAGAGGTGATCGTTTCAAAAAGACCATCGGAGCATAAACTAATGTGAATTTGTGTTATCGTAATTAGATACAAGATAATTATATCGTTCCTTTACTGAGCAATTAAGTTTATCAAAACGATATAAATATGAAGCTTACTCGTTTAAAGGTTACTGCTGTTACAATTGTTTTTCGTGTAAATTATTAGGAAAGATAAAAATCATGATCATATAAGAATTTAACTTTTATCCATTAAACTGGTACGTATAAAAAACAAAGCAAAAGCAATTTGTAGCATATTGGTTTTTAATAAACGATTAATAAATAATTATTACATCAAATTAAACTTAACTTATTAATATTTTATAATTCAACTTAAGCGTTTACTTCGTGTAATTGTGTGTTCTCTGCTAAAGTCGTAATATCTTTAGAAACAATAAAGTCATACCTTCCAGGCGCTGTAATTACTTGTTCTCAAGTCGACTTATGTCTATCTTACCTTACATAAAATTTCAAGTAAATAATTTGTTTCTCAGGGAAAATTTTTGTCTCAAAGGTTTTAAACATCGCGTTTATAAGTTCAGATATGTTTGTTTGCCATACACTAATGCTAATAAAATAAGAATTATTTTTTTTGTATTTATCTGTACTAGAGTTTCTCTTCGAGAGTTCTCGAACCGAGAATTCCCGGGAAATTTTGCCTTACTCGAGACGAGAAAAAAGTAGTCGAGAAATCGAGAAATCGAGAAATTCAGTCAAAAATTTTAAAAACTTAATAACGCGCTTGCGCTTGCGCGCGGCTCTGTCACGCGGTGTGTTTTCATACCGGGTCAATGTAGGGCAACGGAGACGAGGCAAATAGTAGAAGATCGCTTAAAAGAGTTTGGATTATGCTTTGAACAAGACGTCGTAGCTGTGACTAGTGATGGACCAAACGTCATGGTAAAGTTCGGTCGCGAAAGCCCAGCTGAAATGGTCCTATGCTTAAATCATGCTATCCATTTATCTGTGTTGGCTACATTTTGCAACAAAAACGATACAGGCGAAGTTGATGTTACTGAACTAACAAATCAAGCTTTAGAACAAAAAACTTCTGGACAAGACAGTGATGATGATGATGATGAAATTTTTTTATTCGACGACGGCGAGTTAGAATCTGATATAACAAATAATGCACCACAATATACCCAAAATATCAACAAAGTTTTGAAAGAGACACGAGCCTTGGTCAAATTATTCCGGAAGAGTCCTTTGAAAAACATCACGCTGCAAAAACACGTCAAAGAAGAAATCGGCCATGAGTTAAATTTATTATTAGATGTCCGTACAAGATGGAATTCGATGATGCAGATGGTGGAACGATTTCTTAAACTGAAAAATGCAATTAGAAAGGCATTAATCGATTTAAATATGTCCTCAATGTGGCGAGACGACAACATTGACGTTTTAGAGTCATTGTTGGCAGTTTTACACCCGGTTAAGTTGTCTGTTGAAGCGTTATCGAGGAAAGACGCCACTATTTTGACATCGGAGGCAATAATAGACGTGCTCATAAAAAAGTTGAAGTCTATGGAGAACAATTTAGCCACGACGTTTGTGGACCATCTGATGAGCAAAATTGAAAATAGGCGCAATATTAACTTGATTACATTAATTAAATATCTTCATAACCCAACAATATTTCAGAACTATGTATAATGAAAGTGGTACACGCAATTGCACCAAAACAGCTTTGATACGATTTACAGAAGAACTGTACAATAGATTATTTCCTAGCAGCTCTAATTTAGATGGAGATGACACTCTAATACAGACATCAGAAAACGAGCAACTCGAGCAAGCCACATCCTTTGAGCTGAAACTAAAACAGGCTATTGAAATGGTAGCCACGGACACTCCGAGCAACATTGAAACTGTTTTAACAAGAAGCTTGATTAGAAAAGAGTTTCAGTTATATGAATCAACCAGCAAAAGAACACCAAATCTGGAAAACTTGTATAAAGCTGTTATGTCAGTAAAGCCTACGTCGACAGAAAATGAACGGGTTTTCTCCTTGTCTGGAAACTTTGTGACGAAAATACGAAACCGATTGTCAGATGATGCTATAAATGCCCTCGTATTTTTAAAGGCTTATTTCCTTAATAATAACAAGTTACAAGACATAGTGGACTAGCTTTTGAAGCAGTTTCAGCTTTAAATTGTGATTGTAATTAGTCTAAGATTATTAATTATTTTTTAGGTTCTTATGTTTACTTACGTAACGAAAAAACTCCATTTATAACAAATATTGAAAAGTTGGACTAAACTAAGTTACCTGTACCTTATTGTTATTCGTAATTATGAAGCTAGTCTGATTGTTATTTTTTATATCTAATTGAAAAACTGTCGTTTCATGTTACATAATTGAAGAGTTTGTAGTACAGACAGAGACTAAAGTAAATTATTTAGTATGTAAGGTACTAAATTTTATTGTGGTGACATGATGACATTGTTTTTAGAAGATATTTTATTTGTTTTTTCCAAAGAAGAAGACTATGTAGTCCTAAAGTTGTTTGTAGAAATAATGACAAAAGATCTCGCTAGAGTTTATTTCGCTTAATTAAAGTTTTATATACTTACTTAAGTTAAAGTCACATAAAACTAAAAATAAATGTTGTTGAATTTGCATAAAAAGCGTAGTTTTATTGTTAAATCACACATATTTTTGAAAATTTCCATATTTCTCGACAACCCGGGAATTCCCGAGAAATAGTGGTCGAGAATTCTCGTGCTCCGGGAAATAAAAAAGGTCGAGAATTGAGAAACCCTAATCTGTACTTTAAAAAACACTTTTTCAGTATAATGGCATTATATTATGATTCCATTATATATACATACATATAAAAATATGTTTTCTGGTGAATTAAAATATAATATTCTGTTTCGAAGCTATTAATTTTTAACATAAGCTGCTAAATACTTAAAAATAATTCTTACACAGAGAATTATTTTAAAAGCGTGTCTTAAATTCACAAACACATACGAGTATACGTTACTAAATCCCTAATCCTTAACATTTGTTAAAACGACTTAATTTTGTCGTGTCCCAACAACACGTTCGTTCGTAAATTAAGAAGAGCCCAGTCATTCTAGCGTAATCTTTATGAAGGTGCTAGTCCACTTGGCGCGAAATTAAGTAATCGCGTTCCAATGTTGTAATCAAAGTGCCCTTGATAAGTTTTTTGGCAGAGTAATACCGATTATTTTTTCTCTAATTTTTGTTTGAGTACCCCTTAGGAGCCAAGACACATTATCTATTAGTCGTTACTGTTTAAAATACTACACTGCAAATACTATTCTATTTGTATTATGTAACTACATATTATATAAAAAAGTTAATGATTGTACGATTTCATTTTTAATTATTATTCAATATTTAATGAAATTTTATGTCACCAAATGTGAAATTATACCATCTTGTAATCTATGCTTATTAGTAAGTTAATTGACAGTGAAGTTATTTTAAATTATATGAGATTTGTACGCCAATGAAAATTTCCTCTCTCCAACAAAGAGCGGATATAATATCGCAAAATATGATAAACAAAATACCCCCATGATTACATAATAATGCCTGAGAATTTAATCATTATAACGTTACAGAGTCGGTAAGTGTTAATTCGAGATTTCGTAGCTTAGCTATGTAACAATGGGGCAATTTTCTTCTCCAACCCGCCTAACGTAAATGTGAATTTACAGGTATATACCAGTATAGTAATTATTAAAATTCCAACAATATATATGTTCATGCTGTAATATATCGTATTTGACATAAAACATGAAATGTAAGGTATTCGTAATTAGAAAAATGTAAAATACTACGTTATATAAAATAGATGCCGAGAGACATATCACAGATTTCCTAACAAATGTAAAATTTTTTTTATTTAGTACATTTAAGCGTTGTTTCAGCATTCAGATTTTCCATAATAGTGACTTTTATGTTTGAAGTAACTTTTATTTAATATGCGGCAACCTAGTTATTTTAAAATTACTTGTACTAAGCGATATGAGTTTATCACGTAGATTTTTTTAGTGAAATATACTTGTGTTATTAATAGACGAAACTTCTCAGCATTCCATGAATTCACCATGCGGGTGCCGGGTCCATCGCGTTGCAGGGAGAGGAGCTTCAACAGTGCCTGGGACTTGCGACCCAAGTGTAGGTTGAAGGGGCCCCTTAACTAACGCGCGATATACGCCCCCTCGACTGTCCAAGCTCCTCTCCCTACCTAACCAAATTTGAAAAGAACCTACTAGGGCTGCCTTCGATGTACATTCCAAGAATGCATTAATGTGAGTTCTGGACAAGCCCAAGTCCTTTAGTAGATTATAGAGAGATTTCGCTGTTATACCTCTCGCTCCCACCTCTACGAACTACGAACCTAATCTACTACGAACCTATTTCGAGTGAGTTCGTTTTCGAGCTCGTAATATTTGTTGACCTTGATGGTATGGTCTTTGGGGATGTTAGTTTCCCAAGGGACCGTAAGCTCTATCATCACTACGCGCTTTAAAATTCGCGAAAACAAAAAATATCCGGTCTGGAGGCCGACGCACAAATATCCTCGGGGATTTTATATTGTTTTTCATACGTGTCCATCATTATAGTCCAATCCGACGCCGCTTTAAGGATGGAGTAAGGCTTGACGTTTGATTTTGTAGCCCTAGTGCCTTCTCTCACAAAACCTACTGATCGTTCGTTTGTGGTTATTTCCTTTTGCGCTCTGGCTACCGAAAGACTAACCGCTTCACGTATGACTTCTAGAACCCTATCGTGACGACGCGAGTATTGACCGCTGTCCAGGAGTACATTACTTAAATTTATAATAATTCTATGTAAGTTTCAATCATAAAAGAAATAGACTTTTATCTAGCTAAATAACTTATATATGTATATACGTGTTGCTTAGGAATACTATCGCAAAGAGAGCAAAAGCAATGAGTCAGAATTTTAATAACTTTACATCTTTTTATTGAAAGTGATGACTTTTCGAAAGAATATCATTATTTAATTATAATAAAGATAAGGTTATTATACTTTAAACCGTAGGCCTAAAATTCACGCCTGTTAGTTTTTATTTCCACTTTTGGTTCTTGCTTTTATAACCATAAATTTGAGCTATAAATATATGATTAAATTGAGTTCAATAATTTAATTGAAAAGCAATTCTATTGTCACAGAGTCATTTTGCATTCTGCTTCAAATTTATGAAGCACGTCTCGGGCAAACATTTTCTCATTGCTGAGCTACGAAGCATCAGTCAATTTAACTTGTAAACTCAAGTTAATTATTATCGGCATCGAATAACGACAAATTTGGACATAACACTACACGCATGTGTATGTGATCTTTGTACTGGTAAATGATAACAACAAAATAACTTTATGTGCTTTGCATTGTTTGTAATTTAAATCAATTCTGACAGAATTGAAGTTTAAAAGTTTATTTATTAATTCTTATCATTTCAACATTAATTATTATAATTATTAAAACTTAATTTTGGAATTATGAAATTCTTAATGTTATGTTCTTCAATCCTAACATCGATACAAAAAGTGAAATTAATATGGCATGCACTCGGTACATAGAGAATATAAATTTGCATATATTCTAAAATCCAAAGAAAACTTTAAACTACTTTGCTAGTTACCAATAATAAAAACATGAAAATTTTGCTAAAACTCAAGATAAACGAAATTTATTTATTTAAATGGAAAACAGTTAGTAATTCTCCCAAATTGAATGAGAATATTTACTTTTAATTAATACTGATAAAATAGACTTCATTTAGAAATGTAAATAAACATAATTTGATTACAACTTTCACACAAATTCACTATGTTTGGAGAGTAACGGTAAAACTAACCCTTGTCTTACTCATATTAAAGTGAAAACAGCACTAAAAACTTACAAGTAGAATTCGGTTAAAACGAATTTGTGGTTACTTTAAAATAAGATGGTTTGAGAAATATCATAACATACAACATAACGTAAAAGCAAGCATGTTTTTAACAAACTAACGAATGTTTCATTTCAAAAAAAGAAGGTTTGATGTAATCATTCAGTTTTTGTTTGTTACGGTTTTACTAGATACAGAATTCTCTTACTATTAACTACGAGTATACTAAAAAAAAAAAGATAAAATTTTATACAATACCATTGAAAAAAATATTGACGAATGTAGTTATTTCAGCGATTTCCAGATGTGAACCGTTATTTTAGTATATTGTATTGTTAAATCGAAAAACAATTGACTTTTAAGACTTCGTAATAAAATAAGCTTCGCTTGCTGCCATATTACTATGAGCATCAAGATTGTAATGTGTTAAGTATATTAAGAATTTTGTGTAAATAAATAAGTGATTATTTCACTTTTCACTCACGCTAGCACGGCTGCACATGGTTCACTTCGACTATCTATTTAAGCTAGCTGCTTTAAACAACCATTACCTGTGCTCCGTTACCAATGGTCTATAAAATAGAGAATATTTTTTATGTAAAGTAAGGTAACATTTAATAATGTCTAATTGAATTAAAAATAGTTTTGTTAAAAACTAACTTGTTATTGTCATGACTTTTGTCTACACTACGGCCTAGATCCCATAGTTTTTTGAATCTCTCTTACTTTTCATATGTAATCAAGTAATTAGGTTTTTTTGTTACTGAGTAATGAAAACATTCAAAGACATCTTATTAATATTCGTTTAATTTTGAGATGCCTGTTAAATACATACTGTTTTAAAGTTTTTTTTTGTAACATTTTTATCATTTATCTTTAATTTTATAGTAGTTAATAATCTTTGTAGATTCAATACTGGTTTAATCAACATCATAAGTCTTATATTATACAAAAGTTCATTAGTGCTATTTCAAACATAATTATGATTTGGTTTATTTTCCTCCGCGGCTATAACTATAATACTCGTTTATATTTTGATATATTTAATAAAATAACTTTGAAAAAAAAAAACTAAATTAATAATTATAGAATAAGAAATTCTGAATAAATTAGGTCACAAAAGAAACTATATATAACCTATATAACTATATATAAACTTTCCAAATTAGATATCACAAACAAGAAAGTTTAGCATATTCTGTATTTTAGTATTGGTTATTAGAGACTTGAC